CACTGCCATAGGTGTGGTCTATCCCAGGCACTTGGAAAACTCAAGGGTATGTGGAGGAGAAAGGAGAGGAACAACAATAACAACCATGCGAGTAATGACAACATTGAACAGCTGTTACGTAGTTCCTGAGTGCCAGGCACTGCGCTGGGCCTTTATGTTTATCATCTCATCCAGACTTAGTGCGTAGATGCAGCCAGTAAGCAGTAGATGCAGGACAGCAGCAGTGAGTATGCGTTCTTCCTTGTCTAGACAATAACACTGCTTGGAAAGGTTGTTGGATCAGATCAGAAGAGGAAAAGAAGTTTCAGAGAGGGCAAGTGGACTCAGAGGCAGGAAGTGCCAGTGTGGGATGACCAAAGAAAAAAAAAGAAAAAAAAAAAAAGAAGCCCACAGAGGAGGTAGGAAGCCAGTGCAAAGCTTACCCAACTGAGGCAAACTGCTAAAGCTCTGACTTCATGTTAGCCTCTCTCTAAGAAATGTTCTAGAACTTGGCCTGCATGAAATACCCTTCCCTGTTGCCTGGCCCACATTCTCAACCTTGGGGTCTCTTTGCCAAGATGCTCACTTTAGGACACCATTTCCCTACCAAGAGGCCAGAGGACTCCAACTTGTCCCTTTTGTGTTGAGATGTGCTGAGCAGGAGATGGATCAAGAGAGCACAAATGAATGTGTGTGTGTGTGTGTGTGTGTGTGTGTGTGTGTGTGTGTGTGTAGCAGCTGTCTGGGTACTTACAGCCAGTTAAACCCACTAAGAGACAAGCCCTGTCCACGCCTAGCCCTTGGAGACACAAGGGCAGCAACACAAATACGTGGCTTGTCCTTGGTGGTCTGAGCAGAAACCTGAGCAAGTCTTTGGCCTTCAGGTCCCTGGTGAGCCCAGGCAGAGCTCTTACACACACAACTCTGTCCTCTACCTGAACCCCTGCGCTTCCAGAAAAGTCCCGGAACGCCTGGGGAGAAGTGGGATCCAGCCAGCCCACATCTGCCATGAACACCTGCGGTTAGTTTTCCTGTCCCTGAAGGATGGGCAGTGGCGGGCTGCAGGGAGAATGAAGTGCACTCCTTCCACAGTCCCCAGGGCACCCCCCCACCCCCCGCTCTGCGCGTGCGTGCGTGCGTGTGTGTGTGTGTGTGTGTGTAATGGGAGGGGTTTTTAAAAATGAAATACCCTCTGCCTGGGTGGCAGGGAAGCCTGGCCACCCACCCCGTGTGTTTTCTCAATAGAGGCTGGGAGCTCCAGCTGGGCCCATCACTTTGTAACTCCTGGAGTGGAGATGGGGTTCCACTTTGAGCTAACCCACACACCCTGACCTGCTCTTTTATGCCACATGCGTTTGCCCAACAATCATGCCCAGCTTCCAAGGTCAGCCGATGGCCAGGGAATAGAAAGGCGGTCTTTTCTCCCTTTTCTATTGAGGTCTGCCTTCCCCTGCCCCTCAAGTCTCCCACCCTCCCCCTCCCCCTTCAAGGTTGGTCGTCCCTCGCATCCCTGACAAAGCCTTGCCTCGCCTAACCCTCCTCCAGCTGCTGCTGACCTCACAAGGCCCGTCCGCTGCGCTGGCCTCTGCCCCGAGGAGCACAATTAGCACCTGACCAGCCACCGGCCCGCCCGCTTGTCCTCGCCTCTGATTGTTTCAGTGTCTTAGTCATCTCTTCCGCCTCCTTCCCTCTCGGCTCCCCCACAGCGCCCCAGTACAGGTTGGACACACAGTAGGTGTTAATAAACGTCTGTTGAATTGAAACTCGGGAGCCCCTAGGAGGTCAGAACCCTCATAAGCACTCCTATCAGCAGTTTCTTGGCAACCAGTGCTGGAGCCCGAGGCACAGGGCATTAGCAGCTTCGGCCCTATTACAGCACACAGACAGGGCTCAGCGGCCGGAGATTTGGTGTTGATGAGAAAGGCCCCTGACCCCTAGGAAAGCGCCCATGGGATTCTGGGTACGTCACACAAACTTCCCTTCTCGCCTATGGAACTAGTTTGCAGGCGGAAAAGCGCAGAGGGAATAAATTGACAGAGAAGCTAGAAACCTCTTTGCAGCTTTGAAAAAGCAGGCACAGGTTGTGGGGTCACGCCCAGGCCTGGGAAGAAAAGGCTGCCCCAGGCTTGCCCCAGCTCAGCAGGGGGGAGGAGGAATGCCAGGAGAGGCTGGCCAAGTGGCAGAGAGAAGCTCAACTGCCTCAGGGGGCTACAAGGATGTTGGCGTGGGGGTGGTGGACAGCAGCAGCCATAGCTGAAGCCTGAGAAGGTCCCACTTTCCCATCGCTCATTGGCTCAAATCCCAGAGCCAACCTCACCAGGGGTCCCCAGGCAAGGGGGGGGCCCAGATCTAGAGTGCCTGAGCTCCCCACACTGGTTCAGGATTTCAATTATGGCTATCCATATTGATGTGTTAGCCACTCTCTCTGCCTCCCCTACCAACCCTGGGCTCACACAGGGTGATACACACAATCCTAGACGTGAAGTTCAGGCACAGCGCGAGACAATAGCAATGTGCCAGTTCACGCTAACTGTAAGCCACGCTGTACTGTTTTAAAAGCCAGCAGATATGGATATAGCCTAGTACCTGACCCTCACTACCACCTTCTGTGAGGTAGGGCTCACTTGCTTGACAAATGATGAAACTGAGGCACACAGCTGGTTAAGATCGGCTAGGAAGGAAGCGACAAGCTAGAATTTCAACATGGAGGTAAGGGGCTGGAGGTACAATGAGAAAGTCAGGGAGGTGGGCTGTGGTGGAAGCTCCCAAGACCAGGTTTAGAAGCAGAGTCCAGTGGGAACATCACTCTTTTAGCCGGCAGCTAGCTGGGACGCTACAGGCCAAAAGCTCCAATGTATGCACACATTAATGCCTTCAGCTTTACATCTCAATCTGTGACAAAGCAGACACACTGCGCGGTGCAACCATTTAGTGCTAGGAATGGGAGTGGTCCCAGTGGATGTCCCCACCCCCTCAAGCAGGCTTGTCCAGCGGTGGGCGCCAGGCCCAGGGCAGCCACGGAGCAAACATCAGGCAGCAGAGGGAGGAATGCCAGGCATAGCTGCAAACAAGCCACTCCTTTGGCTTACAGCAAGAGGCAGGGGGACGATGGTGGCAACGTGAAGGTCTGCCTCTGGCTCTCCCATCCTCCCCTCCCTCCTCGTGCCCCCAACACGGCATCCCAGGTTTGAGATCTAGCCCCAGAGCCAACTGCATACAAGGTAGCCTCTTGACAACACTGGGCTGGCAGCAATTGGAAATTCTCCCCATCCCACACAGCCTACACCGAATTCACAAATCAGTCCTCCAGCACTGTTTCTGTGCTGGGGGGGGGGGTGCGGGTGACACTGACTTAATGCTTAGGAAAACAATGTGATTGGAAAGGCTTTGGCTAACTAATAAGAGGGACAGGCATTGGAGCTGGGCATCCGTATTCACTGAGCATTTTCAGTGCCAAAGTGTCCTGTCTTCCGAACAAGGCGGGGTAGGGCTCAATCTGTTCCCTTCACCTCCCTCCAAGCTGGCACCAAGGCCAGGGGTCAGCTCTAGGGGCTGAATCTCCACTGGGCGTGCCCGCCAGCTGTTGGGGCGGGCTGTAGTGGCTCAGGCCCTCGGGTGGTGACCTCACTTCTGCTCCTGCCTCCCCACCTCCTTGGGACTCCTCCCATTTGAGGCCCCACCAGGCCAAAATCGAGAAGTCCAAGGTTAACTGTTCCTTCCCACTTTAAGAGCTAATTAAAATGATTAGCCACAATGAACTGTCAAACATTAACTCAAAGAAGCTGCTGGACCAGACAGGCCTCTATTTGGGGCGCAGGGATGAGGGGACAGCAATCAAAAGGACCTCAGATCCCTCCGTTAGGAAGAGGGGATGGTGTGTGGGTTGTGAGGTTGGGGGTCAGAGCTGAGGTGCCAATGGGGTCAGACAGTGACTGTTTAGGAAGCCCATGTCTCCACAGTGTACAAACGAGAAAAAAAAGTGGGGGGGAGCAGCAGAGTTACGGCGCGATGGGATGACACTAAGAGTGGGGGTAGTGGGTGGGTTGTGAATTCATAAAGCTACAACCGCCTCGGCAGTTCCCCCAAACTCCCAAAGGCAAGGCGCTGGCGTCAGGGGACCCCGCGCCTTGAGGAAGACGCCCTGGCGGCAGCAGGGGGAGGAAGCAGCCGGGCGGGAGAAGCGAGGAGAGCGGGAACGCGGAGCTGGGAAGGCTGCGGCGGCTTGCTCACACGGAAACTCCGGACCCTGCCAAGAGGTCTCTATCTGGCTGATCCAGTTATCCAAGCCCCAGGATTGGTGAGCTGGAGTGCGACCCTCAAGCGCCTTGCCCTGGACTAGCTAGAGTCTGTCTGATCGATCGTCGTCCCCCCCCCCCCGCCAGCCCCTCCACGATCCACCCAGTCTCTTTGCCCACAAGCACAGAGTTTTAGGAGGTGGGGTGGAACGAGATGGGGGGGCTGCTTCACGGAATCCGGACTACCCGAGGCGCGGGAAAACTGGCCTTTCACTGGGACTCGGAGAATCGAGTCCAAATCTGGCCCTGGAGCACAAGCCCACGTTTTCCAAGTGCTTACTTGCGGTAGGGCGAGGCCACGGAGCCAACTCCCCACGCTGCTTGTTGCTTTTCCACCCCTTCCCGGGCCCCCGCCTCTGCAAGGGGGCCCCCATCGCCCTCTGTCCCGCCCTGAAACAAACTTTTCAAGGTCCCCGAAAACTCCAAAGAACCGCCGCCATCGACGTACCTGAGGCCGAGTTGTCTTCGTGGGCCGCCGTGGTACCCTTTCTGCTCCAGGGATCCCCACGCGGGGTCCCCAGCCCCGCCAGCCTGCCTGCTCCCCTCTTAGAAGCCCAGCCGGCAAGTGGCGCCGGGAGCAGGGCGCCGGCAAAAGGAGAAGTGGAAGTTGAGCGCGGCACCCGGTCGGTCCCCGCGGCCGCCGGGGCCGCGGTCCCCCGCCCTCCTTCCCTCCCTCTTTTCCCTCCCTTGCCCGCCTGCCCCCGCCGCCCCGCGCCCGTGACTCACCTCGGCGCCGGGGCAGGCTGGTCCGAGCGGGCAAGGCGCAGGGCTCTCCCACACGTCGCGCCGCCAATGGCAAGTTGGAGGGCGAGATGCAAATACTGGGTGAGGCGGTGGCGCCCCTGATAAAAATGATCCCAGGATTAAGGGTGGCGGTGGGAGGTGGGGAGGAGACGAACTGGGGAACCCTCGGGGTGCAGGGTGGACGCCGGGCCCAGGGAAGTGACCGCCGGGCGCCCGGGCAGGGGGCGCAAGGCAGCGGAGACCTACGCTGAGACTGCGGAGCGAAAGGGGAAATTGCACTAGAGACACAGACACACGTCCCCGCAGGCGGCGTCTGGGGCGGGCGCGAAGGAGGCCGGCCGGGAGGGAGGGACCGACGGGAGGGACCGCGGGCGGGGTGGGGAGGGAGGGAGGGACGAGACTGGTCGGTGGAAACAGCGCCCCTCCACCCCCTAGCCCGCCGCGGTCGCCAGCAAGGCAAGGGGAGCCCTGCCAGAGGCCCGTAATTCCGCGCGGCTTCCCCCTCGCGACTCGCTCGCCCCCAGAGGCACAGTGAGGACAGGGCTCCACGCAGAGCCCGCAGCGCGTGCCGCTACCCTGGCCGACGGACCACCAACCCCCACCCCTTTCGGTTCGCGTGGCACTCAGCACGGACTGACTTCGCTCTGGCCGGCTGGAAGCCCCCCACCTGAGACCCCCAGGAATGCTCCAAGCCTCCTGGTGGCTGGCGCCCTGGGCTGGCTTCCTTGACCCCATTGACCCGGAACCCTGTACAAGATGTTATTCAGTTCCAGCTGTGTAGAGAAACCCCTCACCACACATCCCCTGCAGGCGAGCCAGTGGGTGAGTCCCGCATTCTGGGAGGTCTCAGAGGTTACTATTCAATATAGTGGAGTATCTCATGCAAGTTGGGGGTGTCTGCGAAATTGGGGGGACCTCTAGAGAAGTAAGCGTAGGGCTTCAATCAGGGGAAAGGGCTGGCCCAGCAGGTGTAGCTGGAGTGCTGGGGGCAAGTCGGTGCCCACTCTCCCCCTCCAGTTCAAAGCCACGAAGCCTCTGTACTTGAGGCATCCACTTGAAGCCCAGTCGGCCATTCCGTCACCCTTTGCTCCCTCTTGTGGCCTCCCTCAGAGCCCACAGCAGGCCCTCCTCCCTCCCACCTCTCCACCGGGTCCCACAGCTCCAGGAGAGTCGGCTGGGAATTGGAGGAGGAACCCATCCAGGCAGTGAGCAGCAAAGCTGAAGGGGGATAGCCACCACCCCTCTGTCTTGGGGGGCAGGAGAGGAGGGGTCCCTAAGGGGCTAGGGGTGGTCAAAGGGCCTGAGGTTCAAGGACCTGCTCAGCTAGGAGCATCCACCTGCTCCCTGGGGCCTTATAAAAGGCTAGTCTTGCGTTCGCGGCTGGGGAACAGGAGTGATGGAGTGGCAAGGTAGCAACGGATTACAGCACGGTTTCCCATTTTGCTAAAAGCTCAGCGGTTTCCGACATCAGACACACCTGGATCTCTATTCCCAGCGTGTGGGAAAGGTATTTAAATTCTTTTAGCCTAACTTAGTTTACGATGAGGTGTGGGGGGTGGCAGGGAGTGGCAGAATAATAAGAACAAGTCTCACAAAACTGTGATGAGGAATGAACGACATGGCCTGGTACATGTTGGCTGTACCTTGCAATCAATTTTACCTCCATCACACTTTCTCAACCCAGCTCCTTGGAGAAAGCTGGACCAAAGCCCTTGCAGAAGCTGTTGAGATCTAAAATGTTACAGATCCCTCCTGTGTGTGTGCAGGCGTGCGCGGGTGGGGAGGGATATGCCACGCTGAAGCCTCAAGCAAAGGTCTTCCTCTTGGGAATGACTGGGAGGAGAGGTCAGCACTGGCAACCAGGTCATAGCCATGGTCATTATCTACGAAGGTCCTGAAGTCCAGCCGGGGTTGTGGAAATCCCATATGAATTTCCACCTACCCCCAGCCAAGGATCTACAGCCTCACGACCTGAGTTATAGCCAAAGCAAACTCCAGCCCACCCCCCTTGTTGAAAATCTTGCACTACCCTCCCCTTGGGAAGCCGTGCTGGCCTCCTCTGTGGCCTTCCTAGCTGCCCTGCCCCATAGTATTGCTGCTCCCCGGCCTGGCCTGCCAGCCCTTCCCCACCTGGCTCCGCGCTCTTCCACTTACCCAGAAGGTGAGTCCCAGTCAGGTGCAGCAAGCCGGGCTGAGATCAACACCGTCCTGACCCTGCCGAGCGCAGCAAGGAAGTGCCCCGCCTGGTCTGTGGAGCAGAATTTAAGCCAAACCGCCTTTGCAGGTAGGTGTCAGGGGCGGGGATTTGAAAGTGAGGAAGAGCTAAGCCTAAATTTACATCTATAGAATTTGTAAGATAAGCTCAGGAGGAAGTCTCCATATCCCAGGTCTTTGTAAAAAGGATATGGTTCTGAAAATGAGAACAATGGAGAGAGGTATCTGCCCTCCAGACAAGTCCCAGGCCCCTACAAGATTTCCGAGCAGCACCTGGGGGTACTGGGGGCTTTGAGGAAGGTAGTTACTTGAAGGGAGATGCTGCCAGACAGGGTGGGTACTGCCAGGCCCCTGGATGGAGGGTACAGGGGAAGGGTAGGTCACTCAGCATGCCAACCACAGACATGGTGGCTGCTGTGAGGTGCTGTCCCTGCCACCCTCAAGGATTTGGGAACTGGGCCTGATGCTGGAGAAACAGATTCAGTGGCTTTCTGGAATGGTGTGGCCTTTAGAGGGACGGTGGAGAGCAGAGAGTCGAGTTCTAATTAGACGCAAAAGAAAACAAAGTAGAAACGATTGGGGATGGAAGTTCAAGCAATGAGGACAAGACTTCCAGACTCTTCATTCCCACTAGCCCCCAGTGCTTATTTTAGAGTCAATGCACTCTACCTTTGGGCTGAGGGGCACAGCACCTGCTCAGCTCCCTCTGGCACCTGCTTGGGGGAGTGGAGTACTTAACAGTCAAGGAAGCAACCAGAGGAAATGGGCCACCAGCGGCCCTAGGTAATCCCTTGGGCCTCAACCCCTTCTGCCAAATGCCTGTTTTGCATCATCTTTTGATCTTCAACATGAAGTTGGCCTTGGCTGACCTGAAGTGGTCCTGGCCTTAGCTGACCTGTCTGCAGCTGGATGCAGGTGGATTCCGATGCCCTCTCCCACCCTCGTGACTTCTCCTATTGGGGGTACTGGGGAACGGAGTTATAAGCAACCACTACACTGGCACTCAGAGGGACAAGAGGTCCAGATGAAGGGAGAGGCGCTCCAAGATCTAGAAAGCCAATGGCGTGCCCCTGGAGCTGGGCAACATAGAGGCAGGTGGCAGTAAGAAGAGACTCAGGAAAACTCAGGGAGTGCCCAGGAGGGCTTATACAGGGAAACCCCATGGGGGGGGATATGGGGCCTGATCACAGGTGCCCAGCAGGGAGTCATGAAGTAGCCTTGTCAAACCAATTGTGTGTGAGGGGAAGCTGGCTGGCCCTCTGGTTCACCCAGTTGGCCTTGCCTGAGATTTGTACTAGGAGGTAGATGATTCTACTCTACACTCTTAGGAATGTCCCATGCCACAGGGCAACAAGGGCGATAACAGGCCCAGTGGCAAGTACTGTGTGTGCTGGGGACGGAGGATGGCACTAGTCCAACAGGAAAGCTGCCCCACCCTTGCCTTACCCTGCCCCCATGGTGTGGGGCGGGTGGGTGAAGGTGGTGGTGTTGGTGGTGGTAGTGATAGTGGTGGTGGTAATGGTGAGGCTAATTGGTTGTTGTTGTTTAATGCAGAAAAAAAAATACAACATTTAATGTCTATAAAGGTGCAGTGTGAGTCATTTCACGGAATGTCTAGGCCCCTTCGCTGGCAGCAAACAAACTTTCCAGCTCTCTTTTGAGGAAGCCATCCAACTCGGCCGCGGTTGCTGGTGTCAGAGTGTGCGAGTGAGCGAGTGTGTGTGTGTGGGGGGGGGGGTCTGTGCCGGGGAGAGGTCTCTGGCGGGGGCCTGGGCCTGCCCTCCTGTGTCTGGGCGGCTCTCACAGCTGCAGGCGAAGCCGAACCGCAACCGAGGTGGGCTGCGTGCGTGCGTGCGAGTGCTCGGGACTCCGATGTGCGTGGCGAACTCCGAGCCCCGTGGCGCATGCCTGTATGTTTGTGGAAGATGTGTGCATGTGTATGCCTGCGAGGCAGCGGGCTGTGAGCCCGTGCGTCTGAGGGTGTCTACGTGTACATTTTTTTCCTCGTCCTTGCCAAATTATCTTCCCATCTCTCCCCTCACCAAACGACGGGCGGACTGATCCAGGCTAGCAATCCAAAGGGGGAGGGGCAGCAGGGGAGGGAGAGGGGTTGGGTGAGGGAGGTGGAGTGGGGGGAATGCAAAGCGATTGCACTCCTCGGAGAAAAGTGTCAGCCAAGGCTGAAACTGAAACCGAGGCTGTAGCTCCGACCAAGGCGGCAGCACCCTGGGATCGTCCCGGGCTTCAGTTCCTCCCACTCCCCCGCCTCCTCCAGCAGGCGGTGGAGATTAGTCAGACTGAAATTCCCATCCCGGCAACCTGGACTTGGGCTTGAGACGGAGAGGCCAAGCTAGGACTTGGCCCGTGGTTAGCACGTGACATTCCCCCCCCCCCCCATTAGCGCTCTTTGTCACATTAACACAAATTAGTATTATCGGATCCTCTGGCAGCCACCTCGGCTAGGCTGGAAGGAGGGTTCCGGTGGTGGTGGTGGCATCGTGGTGGAGCAGGGCTAGATTCAGGGCTGAGGACTGTGGATCAGGATGAGGCCAAAAAGAGGAAGGCGAGGGGCGAGGGGGAGTTGGGTGCATCAAGCTAGGCCACTTGGATCCTTTTCCTCGGTGGTGCTGCTGCTGCGGCAGCAGGCACTTTGGGGAGGGGGCTCGCAGAAGGGAGCATGTTTCCAGGAATAGCTGGGCGGTGTCCTGTAGGAAGGAGGCCCGAGTTCTGAGGTCTGGGCGGGAGCTGGTCGGTATTTCTCCTGGCACACAGTGAAACCTGGGAACATTTAGGATGTTGAGGGTTCTCCCCCTCCCTTTTTTCCCTTCTTCTTCTTTATGGAAAATCTTTAGATAACTTTTTCAGATGGCTTGGGATGCCCTAGAAGCAGGAGCGATGCATAGATGAAGTGACAGGAAGAAAGGGACACCCAGGACACTAGCTCAGCGCCTGTATTCAATTTCTTAGCATGAGAAAGGGGGACTGGCTGTCCACAGGGTTCCTATGTCAAGGCTCAAGGCTACCATGGTGAAGATGGCCTCTGTTAGCCTCTGGAAAGAGCGAGGAC